GTTATACAACCTAGACTGTTAAGCTTAACATCACTATCTGTCTGAATATCAAACATCTTAGGCATAACATGGAGCAGGTATTTTTCATCAAGTATTGATATGTTGAACTTTAAGTCCCTACAGAATATGATGAAAAAACATTTAAAAATTAGAATGTATTTTTAAAAATAGGCATAAAGAATTATATAATTCTTATTTTTGAGGTAGATTATTTTATGGGACTCCTTCTAGCAACCTGTTTGCACTGTCTTCACATGTTGTGTCACAAATTTCTAATGCCTTGGCATACTGGTTACTTTTCTCTATTTTGCTCTCTGGTGTTTTAGTGTTACTCTTAGTAACTCCAGTATTCAAGTTGAATATTCTTTGTAGGTGTGTTCTGCATGAGGAAGTGCAGAGGACTAAGATTTTATTTTGAAGTATCAGACTTACTTCTATTACTTAACATCACAAACTGAAAAGAAAAAAAAAAAAAAAGCAAAGGAAAGTAGCTACATCACATTGTAAACTCCTGGCTCACTTGGTTTCAGTATTGTTAAGTTGAAAATGATCATAAGGGAATTCTAGTGAGATGAGTTGAAACTGTTTCTGTGGGTGATGCTGAGAAGAATATTGTCTTCATTCACTAATTTAGAATACAACAGTTACTTTTTGTAAGTTCAATGAGAAAAATGAGTTTGTACTCCTGAAGAAATTTTCCATCAGAGTTGGTGGTTTCAAATAAAGTAATAGAAATTATTGTCAGCACATGCCCAAATACATAGTTGGTTTTCAGTATCTTCATTTACTTGAGAAATTTTTTGTCCTTTAGTAATTAACTATTAAGGAAAGACACAACTTTTAACTCCACTAGTTTTTTTTTTTTTTTTTTTTTAAACAAAAACTACCGAGACAACATTGAGGCGGTGTAATTGTTTATTTAATTTAGATAGTAGTATACTAGTACAAAATGAGTCATACATGTTGAGTCCCCAGATGATGTCAAAACATCAGTTTAGTTGCATGGCTTGCTATCACGAGGAAAAGAAGTGTCTTCAGTTCTTTTTATGAATTCAGAGTTGTTGTAGATAAAAACTTTAAAGAGATGTGTCATTTAAGCCAGATTAATTCTAAAATACCTTGTAGTGTAGATCTTTTATTTGCTAACTTACTAAGTTTTTCTAGGAAGGTTTTCTGTAGCATCTCATATTGTAAGTCTTTTTACATTAGGGCATTATTATTTACATCTGTGTGTTTTGAGAACCTATCTCTTCAGAGAAAATTTAAATCAGGGCTTCTTGGTGCTATCATCATTTAAAATAAAAGATTTATTATGGAAAAACTTAGATTTAAAATATCATAAATA